ATTAATGGGAGATTGGGAATGGGAATGGCTATTTGTGGGGATTGGGGATCAATGGGGGTTTGGGAATGGGGGTTGGGAATTAGTGGGGATTGGGAATGGGGATTGGGGATAAGGACAGGAGGGGTGGGATTGGGGTGTGGGAATTAGGGATTGGGAATGGGAATTGAGAATGTGAATTGGGGACAGGGATTAATGGGAACTGGGAATGTGAGGGGTGGGACTGGGGGGCGGGAATTGGGGATTAATTAGGAATTGGGGATGAACTGGGAATGGTTTGGGTTGGAAGGACCTTAAACCCATCCAGTCCCACCCTAGCCATGGGCAGGGACACCTCCCACCAGCCCAGGCTGCTCCAAGCCCCATCCAACCTGGCCTGGAACACTCCCAGGGCTGGAGCAGCCACAGCTGCTCTGGGAAATCCATTCCAGTGCCTCAGCATCCCCCAGGGAGGGATTTTCTCCCCCTCTCACCTGGTAATCCAACATCAGCAGGACAGTGCAGCGCACGTTGACGTCCCCAGGCCTCTTCACCTGGAAGCCATCTGTCTCCTGAGTCGTGGCAGTTCTGTGCCACTGCAACAGCACAGGGAATTTAGAGGCATCTGCACAGGTGGTTCCCTCTGGGCACCCAAAGGCTTTGCCAGTAAATCCCACCCTCCTGGAGGAAGCTCCAACCATCTCCCCACTTACAGCTTGAAACAAGAGACAAGACATTTGTTCAGCCCCTCAGGAAGGGAGAGGAAAAGCTAAGGTGAGAATTCAAGAGCTCAAAGCTCTCCCATCACAGGTTACCAACAAAATACCAACCCCAACCCACCTGTAGAGGAAACCCAGCAAGAAGCAGCTCACCTCTACTAGGTGATTGTCAGGGCCATACAGGTCTTTATCAAGTTCAATGACCAGAGACTTAAAGAAGGATGAAAACTTTCTTTTCTGCTTGGTGGCATCGTATTTGGACAGAGCAGACTGCAAGCAACACAGGGAGGGAGAGGGTTAGGACAGCAAGTCTCAGCACTCAAAGCACAGTCACCCTGTTCCTTTAACACCTCAATTCACCACCATGTGCTCAAAAATCGAGTTCCAAGTGAGAAGGGAAGGCCTGGAGTGAAGGATGAGCTCACATGGGGTTAGGTACAATGCCAGGCCCTGCTTCTCAGAGCTGGGCACACGAGTGCCACTGAGCTGCTCTCACCATCAGCTCCCACAGCTCTGAGAACTTTGACCAACCCATGTCCTGCCATGGGGACACCCATCAATCAGTCTCCAGGCTGGGCTCGTTCTCAGCACCATCAGACCCCTTGGAAAACAAGAGATGGAGGAGGATATCAAGCCCCAGCTGTGCTCTCAGGCACGAGGAAACTGCTTGAGTTGGCCATTGCAGATCCACAGCCTCCTCTGAGGTTGGGTATTCCCCACTCACATCCTCCAGCAGTCGTCCCTCCACGCGGAGCTCCCAGGAGGCCACGGTGCCTTCGCCGTCCTCCGCGTCCGACTTGGCTGGGTTGAAGGTGTTGGAGATGAAGATTCGCAGCTTTCGCTTTTGCTGGGAGAAACATCATCAGCTCAGGGGGAGTTCCCACCTAAAGGGGCTGAGCTACCTCCTGGGGCAACCAGCGAGGGCAGAGGCAGTGCTGGTCCCACTCTGTCTGGAGTTCTGAGATTCCCAACCCTCACAGGGCAAAGAAGGCATGGGACAAGGAAAAATGGGGATAAATTGGAAGGGGAAACTTGGATTAGATATTAGGAAGAAGGATTTTTCCTGTGAGGGTGGTGAGACACTGGCACAGGTTGTCCAAGGAGGTTGTGGATGCCCCAAAGAGGCTATGGATGGCCCAGGGAGAGGCTGTGGGTGCCCCAGGGAGAGGCTGTGATTGCCCCAAAGAGGTTGTGGGTGCCCCAAGGAGGTTGTGGGTGGTCTAAGGAGGTTGTGGATGCCCCAGGGAGGTTGTGGTTGCCCCAGGGAGGCTGTGGATGCCCTAAGGAAGTTGTGGTTGCCCCAAGGAGGTTGTGGATATACTAAGGAGGGTGTGGGTGCCCCAA